AGGGAGCCCGATGCGGGGCTTGATCCCAGGACCCTGGGATCATGACCTGAGCTGAAGGCAGACGCTTAACGACTGAGCCACCCAGGCGCCCTGGAAGAGTTTTAAGATTTATTTATTTGACAGAGAGAGAGAGAGAGGGAACACAAGCAGGGGGAGTGGGAGAGGGAGAAGCAGGCTTCCCGACGACCAGGGACCCGATGCGATGTGGGGCTCCATCTCAGGACCCTGGGATCATGACCTGAGCCAAAGGCAGACGCTTAAGGACTGAGCCACCCAGGTGCCCCTGGAAGAGGAATTGATGGGGAAACTACAAACGACTGCTTCTTCAACAACATTGCAAGAGCTGAGAGAGAACCTATGGTTTATAGGATTTAAAAAGTGAGGGGCGCCTGGGTGGCTCAGTTGGTTAAGTACTGGACTCTTGATTTCATCTCAGGTGGTGATCTCAGGGTCATGAGATTGAGTCCTGCATTGCGCTCTATGCTGGGTGAGGAGCCTAATTACGATTCTCTCCCTCTCCTTCTGCCCCTTTCCCCCTCCCCTGCCCCCTCTCAAATAAATAAATAGATAAATAGCATTCACTGACCACAATGGACCTTGTTTAGATCCAGACACAAGTTGTAAAAAATTCCACAGGACTCTTGGATTATGTGCGAACACAAATCATGAGATACTAAGGAACTGGCCATGAGTTGATAATTGTTAAAGTTGAATGATAGGACACGAAAGTTCATTATATCTCGATACTTCTGTTTATATTTGAAATCTTCTCTAATAGATTTTCTAGGTTTAAAACGGCTGAAGCCAAACAAGGAAAAGATGGTGAAGCCAAATTTGCTTTTATCTGCTCCAACACACCAGCAGGGTATGGAATACTCCCCTCAAGGACAAGCTCATCACAAGATTCTTTGGAGAGAGGAAGTTACAGAAAAGAGAATCCCTTTTATCACCCTCTCACCAATGTTTGGGAAGCCTGGGTAATTGGGAAGAGGGCAGAACTGAGAGGTGAATTTCTCAGGATGGTGGGAAAATCCAAATGTAAAACTTACTTAATCTTTGCTAATTACAAAATACCTGCCTAAAGCTGAAAGTGAATTAGGGAAAGAATCTCTACCCTCAGGGGACTGAGACCAGGTGGAGCTGCTTGCCCTTGAGGTTGTTTTGGGGAGACAGGAGACCTGGGGTAACACCAGTCAGGATAAGGGCTTGGATACTTTTGAAGGGCCTAACAATCGACACAAGACAAGAGTCTTAAGAGAGTTCAGAATGTAAAATTCTACTCATAGCAGGCAGCGTGAGATTTGGGAAGAGCAATCCCAACAGTCCGCCTCCCCATCGAGCTCCCGCATTAACACTTAGCAACTCCGCTCTACAGAGTTTATTGGGTTTATAACTGGACAAAGTCACACGTGTACAAAATGAAGCTCACACTATCCCAAAGCAGAGTAGGGATTGAGGGCTGGGAATCCGTTACTGGCCTTTGGGGGAGCTCCGAGGTGAGGGGCAGCCAACCCTCCCACTCCAGAGAGATGTGGCCACAGGGGAGGGGAGGAGAGGGAGCCCAGCTGGCTTTGGTCACAGAATACAGAGCCTGGCATTGGGCCAGGGCAGACAGATGGATGGTGGAGTAGGAGTCCCAGAAACCACCCTGCCCAGGGAGCCCAGGGACTGCTCCACCAGTCCCACTCGCAATGTGGTTGGTCCAGACCTAGACTCAGGGGCTGGTGCAAAGGGAAGGCAGCAAAGCAGGAGGGAGGAGACACTGAAGTGTGGTGGCCCAGGGCACCCAGACCTGTGGAAAAGGGCAGGTGGGGAGACAGGCTAGCTGCTACTAGGCAGCTAGCAGCGGGTCTCATAAATGCCGCTGCGGCCAATATAGCGCACCCATTTGATGACATCATGGTCGCTGTAGTTCAGCTTCGGTTCAAACACCTTCAAGTAGCGCACCTTGAGGCCAGAGGGTGCGAATGGCACCTGGGCAAAGGACAGCTTCAGTTAGGAATGTGGTCTTCCTCTCACAGCTGCTCTCCTCTGGGAAGTTCTGTAGCCCTGACCTACTTCATCTCTCTCTACTACCGGTGTTTGAATGCTTGGGGTCCTGAAAGAAGCTGGGGGAAGCTTAAGAAGAGTCTTTTTAAGAAGTTACTAGAGAAGAGAGCATATCCAAGAATAACTAATAATCACTTGGGTTTGAAGTCAGACCTTGCCTGTGATAACCTGAATCAATTCCTTTAATCAGCAGGAGGCAACAACCAAAGACCCACTGTAGAACACACTTATCCTGCTCAATATTATGGGCTTAAAAAATAAGGTGGAGAAAATTTTATGTCTAGCATGCACAAAGCAAAGTCAGCCCATTCTCCTGTCTGTAAATAAACTTTATGTCTTATTTGGCATTCAAGCAATCTAAATTTTTTCAAAAAATTGTTTTATGACAGCTTTAGAAGTCAAAGGTTTTTGTCAGTGTGAATAGCAATTTCTAGTAAAAGGCCTGAAGGGGGAAGGAATGGTCTACGAATTAAAAGTCACTTCCCCTCTCTAGGTCTCATATGCAGGTAATAACGTACAGAAGTTGACCTGAACAATCCTAAGATCTTTCTTAGCACACCCTCCCATGGCTCTAGGCCCCTCCTTTGCCATACCTCAAAGTTCATGGAAATGGGGGGTCGAGCCCATTTCTTCTTGTCATTGGTGGGCAGAAGTTCAATCTCTGCGCTGATTTGTGATTCCTTCATGCCTGCCATGCGCTTGATCCTGGGAACAGAAGGGCAATAAGCAGGAAGTGCCCCTGCTAGCTTGGAGGAGTTTTAAGGTGGAGGGTGCCTTTTTGGAGGGGTCAGGGGAAGGGAACTGAAGAGCTTGGAGGAGGTGCCAGGACAAAAAGTATGGGGAAGAACCTGATAACCACTTGCTATGGAACCTTGGGTATGCTCTTCCTTTAGCACTGTTGGCTGCAGTTTCAGCTTAGATACACAGGCATGCTATCCCCTGCTCTCTACTTCACAGAAATATTACAAAGGCAAACAGGGAAAAACATGGAAATATTTTGATAAATAAATGCATGCACGCACCCAAGTGCAGGCATGTGCACACTCAAAGGTATAGGAGTGAGAGCAGAAGCAGAGGTTCCTGGAGAAAAAGACAGGCACACTCCCCCCACCCACAACACACACACACACACTCTCTCTCTCAAGACAATGAAGGTAAAACTTCAAAGAGGGTACACCAAAGCATCTTGAGCCCTGCAGTGGCCTCGTGAAGGAGACTCACTTCCACACGATGGCGTTCTCGCTGGCCTTGTACTTGGCCTTCCCCTTCATGCAGATCACCTGTACCCCGCTTGTGTTCAGTGGGGTTGGGATCCTCACCTAGAAGTGATACACCTGTCAGGGCGCTCTGTCAAGCCCTGACATCAGCTGCTTTTGTACCTGGAGACAGTGCTTCCTCCTCCCCAAGTTCCCTGTTCTCACCTCAATCTTCTGAGCCAGTAATGAGGGCTTGAAATTGGACTTGATGACCACCTTAACCTCCAGCTTGGTGCGTCCCACTTCTCGCACTAGTGGGATCACCCGGAAAGGAAGGATGATGTCCTTGGTGGTACGATACCTTTAGGGGTGGGGAGCAAGGTTGGCACAGGAGAACCTGTCCTCCTCCCTCTCCCCCATCTCTCTCGGCCAGCAGCACCCCCTGCCTCCTCACACCCAATGGCACCTCATTAGCTCAAACTCTCCATCTGGTGGGATGAAGCTGATGCT